AGTATGATTGTTTGTAACGGTCTGGGTGTTTTCTATGTATAGATAATATATATGTATTTACGAAAAAAAAATCTTTGTATTTATATCAGTTGTCTAGTACCCATAATATAATCTTCAGCTAGCTTAACTTGGGTCTAGATGAAGCTGTGTGAATTGTCCTGAGATTACTATTATTACTATAATAAATCTTTTCAAATCAGCCGATGTTTATTTTTGCCATAATACGTGCTGTTACCATGTGATAATATTACGTACGTATTTATTACTGTTTTAAATGTGATGCGTTCATTATTTATATTTCCTTTGAATTAAAGACAAATGTATATATATATATATATATATATATATATATGTATATACACTTGCACACTTAGTTGATCCAGCCACGATCCGTAGATATTGCTGATTCCACTGTCTCTCTCTTTCTACCACTATCTTTGTATTCTAATATGCGATGTTGCCGTTCCGGCCGAGACCATGCGTTGTTGCCAAATGTATTCGTCGATAGTAGTAGATACCTATACTCGATATATATATTTTCAACAATTTCCTGCAATAGTGAATCCGTATCGGCAAAATTTTTTAAATGCACAAAGATTTTTTGACTCTGAATATATTTAAAAATCATTTACTTGTGTGTTGATGAATTTATATACTAGTACATGAAGTACCTAATACTTGTTTTGATTTGAATAGGTAGCGATATTATGAATTTATTATACGTAATCTAAAGATTTTGACGAAATAAAAGTAATTAGTTATCTGTTAACCTTGACTTCATGCTGGCACCAGTATCATCAGATGATGAACATACTCTTCGAAAACTTACAGCAGAATTATCGTGTTTGGACTCATTAGATAGGTCTCGATGAATAGAGTTTGAAAAACTTATTGTTTAGAGTTTAAAAAAATAAATGGTAATAACTTAAAATAATTAGGAAAAGAACAAAGCTATAAATGCACTGAAAGTAATTGATGCCTTCCACACAATATTTTCAGTATTAAACAACTCTGTTTGTTCAGTAAAAGTGTAAATACACACTGGTAACCTTTAATCCTATTTTATATGCAAACATTACATATGCAAACCCTAAAGTTTTATTTCAGAATGGCCAGTAGTTTTGAAGAAATAAGTCTTTGAAATTGTACGTGTAACTTATATATATACTAGTTTTTTCACAAAAATGAACAAAAGTAGAATGGCCTGGTTAGTAGTGTATCTGTGTACCAATTTACCACACAGACACTCCGAGTTCGAATTTCTTTCCGTCCGTTTACTTTTATTATTAATTTTTTTTTGTTTTTTTTTAATTTAATATTTTAATAATTAATTTTTTTATACGATTATTAATTTATAATAAAAACGTAGTTAAGTATTAAATTAATTTTACTAGTTAGGAATGTACCTGTGTACCAACTTACCACACAGCCATCCCGGGTTCGATTCCTACCATTTTTAACAAGTGAAAATGGATCAACAAATTACTACCTATACGGCACGTCTGAGCCACAGTCATCAATAATATTTATATATATATATATATATAAATATCCCCGTAGTTTTTTTGATCCATTTTCACTTGTTGATCCGGAGGCCTTTTGTTGATCTAATGCCAGCTGACCATATGTAAATGTTGCTCCGTTTTGAGCCACAACTGTCATGATGAGTAATAATAATAATTAAGCGATTTATACACGATTTTATACAAATCCACCTTTTTGGCATACGACCAGTTCTTGATCCAATTCAAACGGGCCAATCAGGGTGCAGCATTTGCCAAGGGCTTCCTCATTGGCACGTTTGGGCTACTACATTATGGCTACAGTAACTTAATAATGTCTAGCTAGTATTTCAAGAATAATCTAAATATTTATAGAAATCAGTCTAGAGTAACGTGACTTCAGATCAAACCTCAATACTTGTTATTTTTTGGACGGGAATTTTTCCTTTTGTAACAACGTTACTGAGCGAATGAAGAGAAGACGTAACGGCGGATCCAGGGGGGAGCGTCATGGAGGTCTTGGGAGTCATGGGGGTCAGACTCTCCCTTAGCCCAGGACTTAGGTAGACCACTAATTGAACTAAAAAATAATGAAACAGCTAAATTTTTTGCACGATCGGAGTGTTGGTGCAGTGGTATTAATTATAATTAAACATTGTTACTTAAAATATAACACTTAAAGTAATATAACACTAAAAGCAAAATAAGTATTTTCAAAATACTTTTTCAAAATAAATTACCCTTTGAGTTTTTGTCCAAACCTCAGATATTTTATTTATTTTAGGTATATCAATCATTACATAGTATAGTATAGTATAAAACAAAGTCGCTGTCGCATCTAACAAGTACATAAATAAAGAAAGAAGACTTTTTGGCTCTGAATATATTTCAAAAATCAATTACTTGTGTTAATCAATTTATGTACTTGTTCTTATTTCATAGTACTTGTTTGATCCGAATATATACAGATACCGTAACGGTCTATATAATTATAAATTTATTATACCTAACCTAGATATTTTATTTTGACGAAACTCCGTATAGTAGTAGTATCCGATAAGGGTATGCGAACCCTAAGTATTATTTCAAAATGGCCAGTAATTTCGAAGAAATAAGCCTTTGAATTTCAAATCAACTTACCAAACGGACGCTCAAGGTTCGATTCCCGCCATAGAATTTTTTTATTATTTTTTTTTTGTTTTGACTAATTTTATATTTTAAATTAACTATTTTAATAATTAACCCTTATCGTGGCAAGATTGCTTTTTTTAAAAATAGCAAAAATAATGTATATAGTTAGCTTCTTTGGGTTATATAAAACATTAAAAAAATAAATAAAAAAATCGTGACATAATAATTTCGGAAAAACAAGGTGTATACTATTCTATACATTGCTACACGTGTAGTGATTATCGCATTTTTAGGAATGTATATTATGCTATACATTGCTATGTTTAGGGAGAGTTGGAATGTTACTATTAGTTTTTAACATATACCAAAAGATTATTATTATTTGATTATTACATGATTTTAAATAAAAATAACTGTCTTGATTGAAGAAAAAATGTTTATTAAAAAAATATTTCTTGAATAATAATAATTTGTAATAATTGAACATCCTACTGCTTGCGGTTGTACTCCAAAAAACAGTTACGATTCTTCACATAACAAAGGTGAACCTTACATTTTGTGCACATTGTACTTGCCTGGGCTGGCCTTAGATAATGCTAAAACTATTTTGCTTCCAACACCCACAGTCTCTTCTTCTTCAGTAAATGTAATGTCTCTAAAAGTGTCATCTCCCGCGTAGAGCAAGAAGTCGTAAATGATGCCAGATACACCAGCCCTGACTAAGTTCTTGAAGCCCCATTTACAAGGCTTATTTGGGTTATATTGACGACGACTTCTTCCCTTTGTACGGTATAACCATTTCGTCAATACTAAAAGCGTTCTCTTCTTCTACGGATAAACACTGTGTTTGAAGGCTATCAATTATAGGACGTAGTTTATAATATCTATCTAATGTATCGGCTTCAGAATTATTGGTAAAATGTAAAAATCGTTGATCTGACCTGATCTGTTACATGTGCTACCTTGCCATAACAAAAGGACTTTTTCCAATAATCTTTGTATGATGGCAAAACTACAATACCCATCATAACATTTATTGCCAAAATGTCTAGTATATCTTCCCTTGAAACTGTTATAGATCTTCTTGTTCTGTGTACGCTATATAAATTTGTGTGAATGGTAATAGTATCTACTAATTCTTCGGTAAAAAATCTATAAAAATAATCTAGAGGTGACCAATCAGATGGTACAGGTTCCAAAAATGTAGGGCCTGCTATTTCAAGTGTTGAAATTGCTCTTTGCCAACGAAAAGATTTTTCTGCGATTTTGCGCTTCTGGAGATTTGCGCTTCATTTTTTGAGCGCGCGTCAAAGGTGTCCTGACAGGCGTGGATGCAATTGGTTGATTCGAAAGCAAAGATGGCAAAGATGAAATTGTGGGTAGAGCGTCATAATTACTTTCTGATGGATTAGGAAATACTTGAGTAAGAATAGGTGTAAGAGGCACATCGGTTGTATCGACATAAATATCATCTACATGCGTTCCTATCTGATCATCAGAGATTTGTAGGAGGTTTAACCTTTCGAGACTGGAATTTATCGATGGCGCTGGAGAACTCTCTGCTGATCCAATCATTCCACCTTCATCACCGCTACTAGCGCCGTCACTTGTGTCGGAATTTGCATTCTTTTCAGGCACCAAAGATAAAATACGCCTAGCTCTTTCACTCATAGCAGTCTAAAACCAAAGCAAAAGAAACATGCAAAAAACCATCACCATAGTAAAGCCATACTACATTGTATTATAGATAGGTAAATAATGTATGTAATAATATTTGTCTCTTTATATAGGTAGATAGTCATGCGGTAATAATAATAGTAGTATTTTTTGTGGGAATCAAACCCACAACTTTGTTTATCGCTTTCCAAAATCACTATATCAACGAGGCAGTCAAACATCACTACAACTTTATTTTAAATTTACTTGCAATTTAAATTTTATAGGAAAGTCCAAGAACATTATGATCCCATGAAGTTAGCAATGTATATTATTCTATACAGCATCGACGAAAGGTAGATTACTGCAGCTGCGGCATTGTATAGTATAATATACGTTAGTAAAAAACACGACAAAAACATGCTAATTCTCATAGCGACAACAGCATATATATAAAAATATGTAAGAACAAACTTTTAGGCATGCGAATTTTAGAATAAACATACATATTTAGGGGTAAAAACATAAAAATAAAATTAAACTTACCTTAGTTAAACCAGAGCGGCGCATCTTGATGGTTATTTTTCACAACTGATTTAAAATTATGACAGATAAACGACTATTTTTATTTTTGAAGTATAAATAAACGTCCAGAAATGTTATGTGTTAATAAAACGAAGTTAAAAATTAATTTATAGTGATCATAGTATTTTATAAAGTTGTATGTATGGTATACTATACAAAATGAACTTAAGGGTTAAATGAATTTAATCGAACAAAAAGTTGTCAAGTATTAAATTAATTTTAATTTACATTAACTATTATACTTTCTAAATTGTAAAGCAGCTAACAATTACAGTAATTAATCTTATAAATAATTAACACAAACAAACAAACTAGTAAAATTAATTTAATACTTAACTACGTTTTTCTCGTATAAATTAATTTAATTATTTAAATATTTAATTAAAAAACAAAAACAACTAAATAACAATAGTCAATGGTGGGAATCGAACCCGGGGTGTCTGTGTGGTAAGTTGGTACACAGGTACACTTCTAACTAGTAAAATTAATTTAATACTTAACTACGTTTTTCTCGTATAAATTAATTTAATTATTAAAATATTAAATTTAAAAAAAACAAAAAGAAATAAATAACAATAGTCAATGGTGGGAATCGAACCCGAGGTGTGTAAGTTGGTACATAGGTACACTACTACTACTACTACGCCATTCTATTTTTGTTCATTCTGTAAAAAAACTAGTATACATATAAGTTACACGTACAATTTCAAAGGCTTATTTCTTCAAAACTACTGGCCATTCTGAAATAAAACTTTAGGGTTTGCATATGTAATGTTTGCATATAAAATGTGATTAAAGGTTACCAGTGTATTTACACTTTTACTGAACAAACAGAGTTGTTTACTACTGAAAATATTGTGTGGATATCAATCAATCAATCCATCCATCAATTACTTTCAGTGCACTTATAGCTTTTATCTTTTCCTCATTATTATTATTAAGTTTTAAAGTGGTTGAATTTTGCGTAGAGTGTTTTTATACGTCATTTCTAATTTACCATTTATTTTAAGTTTTTTAAACTCTATTCATCGAGACCAATCTAATGAGTCCAAACACGATATTTCTGCTGTAAGTTTTCGAAGAGTATGTTCATCATCTGATAATACTGGTGCCAGTATGAAGTCAAGGTTAACAGATAACTAATTACTCTTATTTCGTCAAAATCTTTAGATTACGTATAATAAATTCATAATATCGCTGCCTATTCGGATCAAAACAAGTATTTTAGGTACTTCATGTACTAGTATATAAATTCATCAACACACAAGTAAATGATTTTTTAAATATATTCAGAGCCAAAAAGTTTTTGTGCATTTAAAAAATTTTGCTGATACGGAGTCACTATTGCAGGAAATTGTTGAAAAAATATATATCGAGTACAGGTACTATCGACGAATACTTTATCTAGGGAACACGCGGGAACGCGGAACGGCAACATGTTGCCGTTCCGCCACGATACCGTTATAGAGGTAGAAAGAGAGAGACAGTGGAACCAGCAAATGTATCTACGGGTCGTGGCTGGATCAACATCAGTGTGCAAATAAGTGCGCGTATATATATATATATATATACTTGTCTTTAATTCAAAGGAAATATAAATAATGAACGCATCACATTTAAAACAGTAATAAGTACGTAATATTATCACATTATCAAACAGTAAGTACGTAATATTATCACATGGTAACAGCACGTATTATGGCAAAAATAAACATCGGCTGATTTGAAAAGATTTATTATAGTAATAATAGTAATCTCAGGAGAATTCACACAGCTTCATCTAGACACAAGTTAAGCTAGCTGAACATTGTGTTATGGGTACCAGACAACTGACACAAATACAAAGATTTTTTTCGTAAATTAATATATATTTATCTGAATAAATAAATTTAAATAAAATAAAAAAAAATTACTAACCTCCTCAATAGTCAATCCATAATCATTCGGCACGACTTCTCTGTATTTAAACCTAGTGGGCAGATCACCGCCTATAACATCCTCACAGTCCATCTTGTAATACTCATCCATATACTCAGCATATGTTTTCTCCGCTGTAGTTGGGATAAACTTGGGTTTCTCCACGTTAAGAAGATGGTGAAGCTTGGATTTTCGCTTCCGATTGCGACGCTTTTTAACCAGACTCTGTTGGATTTCTTCGAGGAGATTCGCCCTGGCTTGTTTCGGGTCATAATCGGCGTCCATCTGTATAATTTGAATTCATTCATTTATTTGAGTATTTAATTAAATTAGTGCTAATGCTAAATATATCCTATGTTATTCTAGAATAATCTATGAGCCAGCCATTGGTCGAGCGCAGTGATGGCTGGTTCATACGTCATACTCATGACGAGTGCTGCTTGTAGGGACTGGTCTGCTCTAATCACTACGAGATTTATTCTTATTTAGTTGCTCAACCAGTTGGTTGTATATTTCATATTTTCTCTATTTGAGTATTTAATTGAATTAGTGCTAATAGTGTAGTGGTAGTTTGTATTCACACACTTCAACTTAAAAATGTAAAGGAACAATACAATAATTTAAAAGAGCAACACGCAAGATTCTTGCTCGTTCTTCATGGGTGAGACAGCTTTCCGAATGAGTGGTAGATTGAAATGTGATGACTATTCAAAAGTGCTTCAATGTAAGTTTATTCGAATAAATGATTTTTTATTCTATTTAATTAGCGTAATTCATAATAATAAAAAAGTTACACGTACATTGAAATCATCATCTTCACAATGTGGTACAGCATCACCGTGCTTTTGTACGTCTTGATTGTCTGTCTCATATTTGTCCCAGTTTTCTGAAATAAGAAGAAAATGAATGGGTATTAATAAAACTGGTTAATAGAAAACAAAGTTTGTTTTTATGATGTTTTTTTTTATAACACAGGGGACAAACGAGCATGCGGCTCACCTGATGGTAAGTGATTACCGCCGCCCATGAGCACCCGCAACACCAGGGGAATTGCAAGTACGTTGTCGGCCTTTCAAAAAGGAATAAGCTCTTTTCTTGAAGGTTTCAATATCGTATCGATTCGGAAATACCATTGCTGGAAGGTGATTCCACAATGTGGTTGATGCGATTTTTTTATATTCTAAATATCGTTACCATATTCAGTGGGGACAGGGGCCCGTTGTATCCTCGGGGCCCCGGGAACAAAATATATGCATTCATATAGGTGTATAAAGGACATTTGTGATAAGTCAAATCTACCGTTAGTTATGTAATGTTGTTTGAGCTGAGAATAACTGACAAAAAATAGTACTAACTCGTCTTAAAACAGATTATAATTAAAAAGAAAACATATAAAACTAAAGAATACATTATTTATAATTTATATTCTGTATTATTGTAAACATGTACAACATTTATTTGAAAAGAATACGAGCTGAGTTTCTTGTCAGTTTTTCTCAACTCGAAATTATTCCGAACTGACGGTAGATTTGACATATCATAAGAGTATGTAATAGACCTACATGAATAAAGATATTTTGGATTTGAAAAATACATCATCATTAAATAGTATAAAACAAATTCGCTGTCTATCCGTATGTATGCTTAAATCTTTAAAACTACGCAACGGATTTTGACGCGGTTTTTTTAATATATAGTGATTCAAGAGGAATGTTTATTATATATAAACCTTCCTCTTGAATCACTCTATCTATTGCTAACGAAGAAGGAAACTAGGTTCCTTTTGAAAACCGTCGTAATTAAGTCCTGGTGAATTAACCATGATGAGCTAACTAACCTGACTTTATGCTTATCCTATCATCCTCCACCATGCTATTTTGATCCCTAAAAATACATAATACATGTACACCCGTGCGAAGCCGAGGTGAGTAGATAGTTAAATAATAAAGTATATTAAAGGATGTCCTCTCTATTTTTCTTCAAAAGCTCAAATGATATAACTATATTACCAATCTCAAGTTCTTCATCCAAGTCGGGGAATCTTGGTTTCTCCGTATCTGCTTCTCCGTAGTATTCTTCGTCGAACAATGCGCGCATGCGGCGGTCGTGTTCCTCAGGGTCGAAGTCACCCTCGATGTCTTGCTCCTAGCGGAATTAAATTTATTAGTGGTTGAAAATCGACCACTATACATTTAAATTTACGGCCTCGGTGGTCTATCTGTTAAGCACGCTTTACTTCCGATGGATCGCGGATTCGATTCCTCGTACGGTGCAAACATTTTGTATTTATGAGTATGATTATTTGAATCTATCTAGGTGTTTCCTATGTATAAAATGTAAGTGTCTATGTTTTATATTTTCTCAATTTGAGTATATAATTGAATTAGTTCTAATTGGTAGTTTATATTCATACACTGCAACTTAAAAATGTAAAGTAACAATAAAATTATTTAAAAGAGCAACACGCAAGTTTCTTGCTCGTTCTTCTTGTGATGAGACAGCTATCCAAATGAGCGGTAGATTAAAATATGAAGACTATTCAATAGTGCATCAATTTAAGTTTATTTGAATAAATGATTTTCTATTCTTTTCTATCCGTTGTCTATAACCCATGCCACAAGATCTGTTTTGCTTAGGACTAGATGGCGCTGTGTGGATTGTCCTGAGAATTATTATTATTAAATTATAAGTTTGGACATTATAAAGGTTCTATTGTCAAAGACTATACTCCTATAATCACAGGCACAGGCAATAAATAAAAGATTATATATATGCGTGTATATCAAATAGTAGTGTAATGTTTTTTTTGTTCAATGTATTGTCAGGTATAATTAAAAAAATATATATCTAGACACGCGGCAGCGTGTCAAGCCGAGTTTCAAGTAAACTGGCTTGCAGCACCGTGTGTATATTTACACGAACCATTTGGAGCCACTTTTGACCCCCTCATAACTCAAAAACTCTTTCACACAAACCTGTCAAATTTGGTTCATATATTGAGACTTGCGAGATAAATATGTGTTCCAAATTTCATAAACATATCTCAAACGGTTATTTAGATATTAATGTCCAAAAATCGTCATTTTTATCACTGATCAACTATAGATCAAAATTATAACCCACTTCCAGATGACCTAGGAAGTTCAAATTTGGTATGCAGATAGGTAATTAGGTGAATATAAAGGAAAAAATCTGAAACTGGTAAATTGTTATCATTTTATTACAATTTTTCACTTTAATTGATTCTATTTCAACTTATACTGGACGAATACTAAAATTCTATGAAAACGTCGATAGCCACCAATTGACATTGATCCCTGGCGAAAAATCTCATCTTGTACTGGACGGAAAGTAATATTGTATGAAAACGTCGATCATTACCAATTTACGTTGACCCCTTCACATCAGTGTCGATAACTAGCAAACTTCAAATATTGCATTGAGCGGTAAACACTAGTTGCTATAATTTAGATTCTGTCTAAAATATACTCGTACTTATAACTAGGAGTATAGTCGAATTTCGTATTTATTATGTTATTAACTGAGATTTGGTATTAATTATTGTTTCAATATTTAGCGCACATCGATAGTGTAAAATCATTATTTTTATAAATAATTATTAAATAATAGGCATTTCGGTATAGGGCGCCGCGGTGGCGCCGTGTGGGAGCGGTGCGATAAAACTCAATGTTTTGTTTCTGGATATCTAACCTATAAGGTTGCGATTTATGCTACGAAATTTATAGCTTTCTTAAATTATACTTATATATTTGTGATTATATTATTATTACATTATTTTAGTAAATACGTATGGTATAGACAATAGTTTAAACCAAAAATTAATAACAATTTTAGTATAGTTATAAGTAGGACTGTACAGTTAACTCGAGAATGAGAACTTATTGGTAACAAATTGTTTTCTTGAGAATTCAATAGATAACAGTCAATTTGTTACATAATCGTCTTTACGAACTATAACGTGTCAATACGAAGTTTCAGATATTAAATAATGTATATGTTGATAGAGAACAATTCCGTATTTGCTTAACATATGCTATTACTATCCACAAATCACAAGGCCTTAGTTTTGGCAGTCCTCTTCTCAACATAGCCTCCTCTATATTTAATAAAGGGCAGGTTTACGTTGGACTCTTCAGAGTTAAAACCTTAGATGGAGTACGTCTTAACAATTTTGATCCAAGTCACGAGAACTCTATTGTAGAGTACAACCATCTGTGGACGTTATACCGCCCCGATTTGCCCAAAAATTCCTGATACTGAATTGGCATTGCACTTGAACATTTAAAAGTTACAAGAAAATATAGAAAATAACACAAAAAAAAAGACAATTATACCTCGTAAATATACGAAAATACAGTAATTTATCAAAAATAATTTGGTATTAATTTAGTTATAAATAAGTACCTCGTATAATTTATGTACAAAAAGTAATGATATCCCATCAAAAACATAAATGTGAAATGATAGCCGAGTTTAATATTATGATATATGGCTTGATTGTTGACTTCTACGACAAAAGAGATGAGATCTAAATGGGTGCCAAGTTCAATGGTCTGTCCTGAAATGTATTTATAACAATATAAAATATCATTTCTTCTTATAACTTAGGATAATATACTGTAGCCTAAGGTCTAACTTGGCTAGTTTTCATATACGAAATATACTGTAGCCTTCCCAAGTTCTAAACATGTTACTTGTCGGTTCCTATTTTAATATTAATAGTAACTAGCAATCGAAAGTAATAATTGGTATATGAGAACTGGCCAAGTTAGACCTTAGGCTACAGTATATTATCCTAAGTTATAAGAAGAAATGATATTTTATATTGTTATAAATACATTTCAGGACAGACCATTGAACTTGGCACCCATTTAGATCTCATCTCTTTTGTCGTAACAAGTCAACAATCAAGCCATATATCATAATATTAAACTCGGCTATCATTTCACATTTATGTTTTTGATGGGATATTTGTATTCTGCACTATATAACCTTCTCTATATAAACTATAAGGGGCTGTTCAAGTATTACGTAAGCAGATTTATCACAATTATTTACCCCTCCCCCCATGCTTACGTAAACATTTCTCAATTAATGTATTGTTTTTTTAGCAAAGACAATGTGAGGGTTGCCATTCGTGTAAAAAAGTAAATTACGACCGATGACGTAATCATCATACAGACTCCCCCACCCCCATGTCATCCAAAATAAGCAAAGAAAAAGACCCCGCCCCCTATAGTGCTTACGTAATACTTGAACGGCCCCTAAGTGTACGAAATTTCATAGTTTTCCGTCCGCGTAATTTTCTTAAAAAGGGGTAATAATTTATTATCACTGGTTATTGGAGAAGTTAATCATTTAATAAAAACAAGTGAAATTGTATTTTTACCTCAAAGGCGAGATCATCATTTCCCGTAACCTCTTTGATCCTAGCGATCTTCTCTTGTATCTCTTTCAGTTTGAGCGCCTTCAGCCGTGCGATCTCTTCCATTTTCTTGTTCTTCTCTTCTTCCTTGCGGGTGCGCACTTCAGCTCGTTTCCGTGCGCGCCGGTCATCCTTGGGCCGGATGTAGTTCATTGTGCGCGGGAATCTTTTCAACTGTATTCATAGAAGAATAAAAATTATTTAATAACAAAAATAATAGGCTGGAAATTACAAAATTACAGGATAAGAGACTATTTGGTATATATTTAAGTTTATTGCATATATATGTGTGTATTTATGTGTATATAGACGCCACAACCTAAACACTTGCCGATTCCACCTTTTACACTGAATAACTTGACCTCTATCGCGTATATCTCAGGCGGTATGGCAACGTCGCATTCTATTTTGCGATGTGGCCATATATATTCGTCGATAGTACGATATACTCGACACTTTTTTTACTAATAATTCGTGACTGAATGGCTCCGAACGGCTAAATTTTTGGTATACACAAAGACTTTTTGGCTCTGAATATATTCCAAAAATCAATTAATTATGTTGATCACTTTATATACTCGTCCTTACTGCGATACTTATTTTCATCCGAATATATATAGATACCGTAACGGTCTATCAATTATGAATTTATTAATTTACTAATGTAGATATTTTATATTCGCAATGCTCCATACATAGTAACTCCACCGTTGCAGGGGGAGCACCGTACACCGCACCCCGCGCACACAAACAAATTAGATATTTTTTGAATACACAAAGACTTTTTGGCTCCGTATATATATTTCAAAAATCAATTAATTGTGTTGATCACTTTATATACTGGTCCTTACTGCGATACTTATTTTAATCCGAATATATATAGATACCGTAACGGTCTATCAATTATGAATTTATTAATTTACTAATCTAGATATTTTATATTCGCAATGCTCCATACATGCAAGCTCCAGCAACGGTGGAGGCAGGGGGGAGCACCGTACACCGCACCCCGCGCACACAAACAAATTAGAATAAATTAAATTCATAAGATTATTTATGTATTTCGACTGCCTCGGTGGTCACACCGCTTTACATCCGATGGTCGCGGGTTCGATTTCTCGCACGGTGCAAACATATGTACTCATCGGTCATCGATTGATTTCATCGGTCTGGGTGTTTTATATGTATATTATATATGTATTTACAAGATAAAATATCTATTTATATCAGTTCAGTATCAGTCTGTGTTAATTGTCCAGCGCTATTTATTATATTTTTATAAACGGTTATCTTTTTCCATCGCACCGCTCGCTATCGACAGTGAATTCATAGAAATGTCACTCTAAAAACAAAAATAGTTTTGTATTTCAAATACTAAATGCAAAATAGGTATTTTCAAAATACTTTTTCAAAATAAAGTACCTTTTGAATTTTTGTCCAAACCTCAGATATTTTATTTATTTTACATAGGTATATCAATCATTACATAGTGTAGTATAAAACAAAGTCGATGTCGCATCTAACAGTACATAAATAAAGAAAGAAGACTTTTTGGCTCTGATACCGTAACGGTCTATCAATTATGAATTTATTATACCTAATCTAGATATTTTATATTCGCAATGCTACATACATTGTAATATCCGCCTCCATTCATTGTAACGGTGGAGGGACTAAATAGTTGAATAAAACTGAATAAGCAGTTGCTCCACTCTATAGGTATGCGTCGTCGTCGTATGCTGTTCATTTTTTCACTCGTTTTGGCGCCAAGAGAGGGTCACATAGTCGTGGTCAAGTTAAGAACTTATAATTTAATTTTGATGACAATAGATACAAGTAAAAAGTAGGTATTATATTAATGTACGTAAGTACTGTACTTAAAAATATTTATTCTTTATTGTACATTTGAAAAACTTAACACTTAAGGACTTGTACATATACACGTACATACTGCCATTTTCTCTTAAAGACATCCAGAGAAGCACTATTTATCAAATACGCGGGGTGCACCGACCTTTGACCTTATAACAGCTGATTCGCGCGTAACGAATTACATTGCTACTTACATTACTATTTTATAGTGGATATTTCACTATAAAATATTATTATTTCTTTAGATTATGACATAATAGCATAGTTTACATGATTTTAAGGGAAACATACGATAAAAAAAATTCCCGTAAAATGTAAAAGATAAAAAATGGTTATTGTTGGTTATCCTTGAGAGATAGACATATACCATCACGGACTTTTTTGTTGACCTTATTTTGATACATCTCAAAGCACTAGACAATACGCATTTTCATTAAACAGTATTGTATTTTTTTTATTTATTTAACTTTAATGCACAAAAAAAATTTGTACATGTGGCGGACTTAATATCTTGCCGCGTTATTTACCAGGCAACCATGAGTGGTGCAGCGAAAGATTATTGGCGGTGCACTAATATAAATAAGAAATGTCAAAAAAAGATATATAAATACAAAGCAAAATATACATTTCTATAAAAAAATAACAATATACATACATAAATATATAACCCATAAATGTATAAATAAATACATAATGACCCGATAATCAAATTATAAGTACAGTCTCAAATTGAAAGTAAGAAAAACAGAAAATATAGAGAGAACTATAGGGATATAACAGAAAGATGTTAAAAAAGGAGAAGGACAGTAAAAAAGTTACAAATTTAAATAATATTCCCGCAATTTCTGTTTAAATGAATTTATTACATTATTATATATATTAGGCATACGACTAGCCTTATGACTGTTACTTTTTTTTTAATCTATACATCTATACATGTAAATAAAATTGGAGTGTCTGTTTGTAATATTGAAATAACCGTTTTTACTACTTGCATATGAATATAAATCCGGTACATACACCAAAATAACATATTTTACAAGTTTTGTCTGTCTGTCTGTCTGTTTGTTCCGGCTAATCTCTGAAATAGCTGGACCGATTTTGACGGGACTTTTTTTGGCAAGTAGCTGATGTAATAAGGAGTAACTTACGCTACTGTTATTTTAGAAAAATAAAATAAAATTTCACGCGGACGAAGTCGCTGGGGCCAGCTAGTCTATAGATATACCGAGATTTAATATTTAAGTTGCTATTATGTTGTTGACAAAATTTTACTGTAATGTTACTATTACGTTATCCTACACAATTTGTATTATTTTGGATGAATAAATAAATAAATAAATAATAATCTATACATCTATACATATAAATAAAATTGGAGTGTCTGTTTGTAATATTGAAATAACCGTTTTTTACTACATGCATATGAATATATATAAGGTACATATACCAAAATAACAATTTTTATAATTTTAGTCTGTCTGTCTGTCGGTCTGTTTGTTCCGGCTAATCTCTGAAATGGCTGGACCGATTTTGACGGTACTTCTTTTTGGCAGGTAGCTGATTTATAAGGAGTAACTTAGGTTACTTTTATTTTAGAAAAATAAAGTTTAATTCCACGCGGACGAAGTCGCGGGAACAGCTTGTTTTTAATAAAAACATCTTTTTTGTGGTACTTGAGAATGTTGAAGCCTGTTGTTTGTAATATTGAAATAACCGTTTTTTACTACTTGCATATGAATATAAATACGGTACATAATACACCAAAATAACATATTTTACAATTTTTGTCCGTCTGTCTGTTTGTTCCGGCTAATCTCTGAAATGGCTGGACCGATTTTGACGGGACTTTTTTTGGCAGGTAGCTGATGTAATAAGGCTACTACCTAGTAACTTAGGCTACTTTTATTTTAGAAAAATAAAGTTAAAAACCACGTGGACGAAGTCGCGGGAACAGCTACTGTATAATATATTAGAGATACCTACGTGTTTTTTTATTGATGACTAGCTGTACACGGGATTTCGTCCGTGTGGAATTTAACTTTATTTTTCTAAAATATAAGAAGTTAAATTCCACGCGGTACAGCTAGTTGTCGGTAGTCTAGCGATTTAGCTAGCACACTGCTTTGATTCCTGCTTGGTGGTCGAGGGTTCGATTCCTCGCACGCTGCAAACATTTGTATTCGTGAGTAGGATTGTTTGTAACGGTCTGGGTGTTTTCTATGTATAGATAATATATATGTATTTACGAAAAAAATCTTTGTATTTATATCAGTTGTCTAGTACCCATAACATAATCTTCAGCTAGCTTAACTTGGGTCTAGATGAAGCTGTGTGAATTGTCCTGAGATTACTATTATTATTAATTGGTACACAGGTAAACTACTAACTAGGCCATATTGGTGTTGTTTGTTATGGTGAAAAAACTAGTATATATATAAGTTACACGTACAATTTCAAAGACTTATTTCTTCAAAACTACTGGCTATTCTGAAATAAAACTTTAGGGTTTGTATATGTAATGTTTGCATATAAAATATGATTAAAGGTTACCAGTGTATTTACACTTTTACTGAACAAACAGAGTTGTTTAATAGTGAAAATATTGTGTGGAAGACATCAATTACTTTCAGTACATGTATAGCTTTTCTCTTTTCCTAATTATTATTATTATTAAGTTTAAAGTGGTTGAATTTTACGTAAGGGGTATTTATACATTATTTCTAATTTACCATTTATTTTAAGTTTTTTAAACTCTATTCATCGAGACCTATCTAATGAGTCCAAACACGATATTTCTGCTGTACATAAGTTTTCGAAGAGTATGTTCATCATCTGATAATACTGGTGCCAGCATGAAGTCAAGGTTAACAGATAACTAATTACTTTTATTTCGTCAAAATCTTTAGATTACGTATAATAAATTCATAATATCGCTACCTATTCAAATCAAAACAAGTATTAGGTACTTCATGTACTAGTATATAAATTCATCAACACACAAGTAAATGATTTTTAAATATATTCAGAGCCAAAAAATCTTTGTGCATTTAAAAAAATTGCCGATACGGATTCACTATTGCAGGAAATTGTTGAAAAAATATATATCGCGTATAGGTATCTACTACTATCGACGAATACATTTGGCAACAACGCGCAACATATGCGATGTTGCCGTTCCGGCCGAGACCATGCCGGAACGGCAACATCGCATATTAGAATACAAAGATAGTGATAGAAAGAGAGAGACAGTGGAATCAGCAATATCTACGGATCGTGGC